TATAGTGTTGCCATGAGTTGGAACTGACTGCATGGCACTTAACAACAATAAAAAACACAGGCAGTTGGAATCGACTAGATGACAGGGAGTGAGGTTTTAAATGACAAGGGAAACCCATCCTTGGCTCTGAAAAATTATGATGTTGTTGTTACATGCCATCGAGTCAGTACTGACTTGCAGAGAGTGGCTGGTGGGTTTGAACTGCCAACCTTGTGGTTAGCAGTCCAGTGTTTATCCTACGATGCCACACCAGTAAAATCCTGATAGGACTTGGGATTTTGCTCTTTTATTTCCTCTTTCAGCAATGATGGAACATATGATAAATAAATAGGGCTTAACAAGCCTGTGAACTGTTTTCTCTCTGGCAGGACTGAATCATTTGAAACATTCCAACCCTAAAGTTGAACCATCAAAGGAATTTCCAGAAAGAAAACAAATCCTTTGTATCTTTACTCACAAGGTTTACTAACTGAGAATAATGAAGAATGAACGATGGCCAGGTTTGTGCAAAGAGAAAGGTAAGCACTAAGACAGGAGTCTGGGTGTGGCACTGTAGGATAAGCAATGAACCACAAAATCAGTTTGAATTGCAGGGTTGGTGGTTCAAATCACTCCTCAGAAATTCTATACAGTGCTGCTGTGAATTGGAACCGACTGGACTGCTCTTAAAACCAAAGGCAGGATGGGAAGTGAGGAGTTAGGGCAAAACAAATCTGTGAAATCAGGAGGAGCTATAACGTGAGCCCCACTTTCAGAATTCATTAACTGTTCTGGCCTTGGGCAAATTGCTTAATTTCTTTGTGTCGTTTCTAAAATAGATGTCATAATTGTTCTTACCTCATAGGGCTTTAAAAGGATTAAATTAGATAATAAAGGCAAAGCACTCATTACATGTTAACAATTGCTGATTTTTAATCAAACCTCTTTTCTGGAATTTGGAGGTGTGTAGCCCTGGGGGAAGTTAAGTGTGAGGTCTGTAAGACTGGGATAATAGTACCTTACTGTAAGAGGATTTAAGTGAGATATTACATGGAGTGTTCAGTACAGCAGTTGGTAAAGATCCAAGAAATGACAGTTTTTGAGGCTCAGCGGACCTTTGGTCATATTAAGAAGGCTTCAAAGACATGAGGGGAGTTGAATGTGATCAGAAGGCTGGGAGAAACTGAGGCAGTGCTATTTCAGTGTCTGAATTTTCACCTTCCATGTGAGAGACCTGGGTTCGATTTCTGCCCAATGCACCTCATGTGTACCCATCATCCTTCTGACAGTGGAAGCTTGCCAGTTGTTATGATGCTGAAGACGTATCAATGGAACTTGCAGATTAAGACAGATAAGGAAGAAAGACGTGGTGTTGTACTTCTGAAAATCAGCAATGACAAGTCTATGGATCCCAATGGTCTGAACTGCAACTGGACATGGTGATAGGGAAGGACCGGGCAGCATGTGGTCACCATGAGTCTGGAGTCCACTAAACAGCAGCTAGAACACTGAGAGGAAGACCCCCAATGAGATAGAGGGGCACAGTGGCAGCCCCAGGCTCAAGCATAACAAAGACTGTGAGGATGATGCCACCTGAGCACAGTTCATTCTGTTGTGAATGGATTGGCTATGAGTCAGAGCTGACTCCACGGTACCTAACTACCACAATAATTACAACAACAAGATGAAGAAACTGTATCTGAAGGTTACAATAAAAAGAAGTCTGTGTTGTTGCTTTGTTAAGGTGTCGGTCAAGTTGGTTCTGATTCATAGTGACCCTACACAGAGTTTCTGAGACTCTAAATCTTTTTTATTTTGAAACATTATATGGTGAATTGAGTGAAGTTCTACAGAGTAGGTCATCACTGTTACGTTCAAGAAATCATACACTTTGTTTCAGCTCAATGACCGCATCTCCCACTTCCTCTGTATGATTCTTACTTCTTTTCCAACCTCCTTCCCAGTCCTTCAGAACTTTGCCCTTAAGTAAATGTTGCTGTTTAATTATGAACGGTTGACCACTCCATGGTGAGCATACTCTACAAGAGTTGCTGTCCCCTTTATATACCTGTCTACTGCTTGGTTGAAAACTGGACTACGAGGGTGAGTTCCATTCTAGACCTGAAGGGTGGCAGAGGGCCAGAGTTTCAGGTTCCTCCATTCTTTCTCCAATCAGTAAGCCTGCTCTTATTTGTTTGTTTGTTTGTTTTTATCAATTTCAGTTTTGTTCCACACTGTCTCCTACTCTATCTTGGGCCTTCTAATGTGATTCCTTTCTGAGCAGTTGGATGTGGAAGCTGAGCACCATCTAGTTCTCCTGGTCCCAGAGTCACGGAGAATGATGTTCATGTGTCCACGAATCCACTAAACTAGCTAATTCCAAGTATCTTAATTTTCATCACTCTTCTTTCTTCCAGACATAGAGAGACCGATAGTTGCATTTCAAATGGCCTTACAAAAGTAAATTGTAGAGCATTGTTTTTGTGGACTTTGTTACGTGGAATACGGTCTGAGGTTGAAAACCTTTATCAAAACAGAAAGACTTATTTTTCTCCTGAGGAGTGTGTTGGGCTTGAACCAAGGACATTATAGTTAACAGTCCAGTGCTTATCCTACAGCACAAGAGCACTCCCCAAAGAAATGTAGGTGGGAAAACTATTGAAGGCAAACTGTATTTTTAGAATAATGTGATAAACACTAATCATTTGACTTCCATCAAGACAGAATTTATTATAACCTGAGTATTTTCCCATCAGTTTAGCTTCTTCTACGCTACTTCTATGGAGTCCTGGTATGGAGTTGTGGGACTGCAAAGCCGTTTGAATTGCTAGGTCGGAGGTTCAAGCTCACCAGCTACTCCTTGGAAACCCTATAAAGCGTCACTATGGGTCAGAACCGACTCGATGACACTTAACAACAACAACAACACCCCTACTTCTACAGAGTACTGGTGTGGCACTGTGGGATAATGCACTGGACTGCAACGCTGGTTTGAACTGCAAAGTCAGCAGTTCAAATTCATCTCTTGCTCCTCAGAAACCTTACACAGGGTCGCTATAAGCTGGAACTGATTCAACGGCACTTAACAATAACAACCCTACTTAAATAGGATGGACCAAGCATGGTCATCTTACTCAAAGGTAGTTAATCAGCAAGCTGGTCAAAGTCTCAAAGGGGCTTGAAAAGACCATTGTTCTACCTAACAGACTTGCTGCTAGGTTCTGACCATAGCAACCCCTTATAGAGTTTCTGAGGAGCGGCTGGTAAGCTGGA